GGATTACAGGTGTGAGCCACTGCACCTGGCCTATTTTAGCTATTTTAAAATACTAATTAGTATTAAAAATTGCAGTGAAGAAGTTAGCCAGTTCTAACTGGGGAATGTTCCTTCTTATATGTAGACTTAAAAAATTTTTTTGGAAATTGTCAAACCTGATTTTTTACTTTTATTTATTTTTCATTTTAATGTTCATGAGTACATAGGTATACTGTATATATTTATGTTGTACATCAGATATTTTTATATAGACATACAATGTGTAATAATCGCATCAGGGCAGATGGAGTCTCTAATGTCTGATTTTTTTTTAAAAGTTATCTTTGTGTGATTGTGTTGATTGGTTAGAGATGATTTTTCTTTTTTTTTGTTTGTTTGTTTTTTTGAGACGGAGTCTTGGTCTGTTGCCCAGGCTGGAGCTCAGTGGCACAATCTTGGTTCATTGCAACCTCCGCCTCCTGGGTTCAAGCGATTCTTCTGCCTCAGCCTCCTCAATAGCTGGGATTACAGGCATGTGCCACCATGCCTGGCTAATTTTTGTATTTTTAGTAGAGACAGGATTTCACCACATTGGTCAGGCTGGTCTTGAACTCCTGACCTTGTGATCTGCCCGCCTTGGCCTCCCAAAGCTCTGGGATTACAGGCACCGCACCCCACCTTATGCCTTTTCCTTTTAAGTATTTGTATTTTCCACATTTTCTGCATAGAGCAACAGTAGTTTTGTAATTAGAACAAAGCAATTCAAATAATATTTATAATAATGGTAATGTCTCATGGATTACCTTTTAATGTTCAGGTATTGTGCTATGATTAGTATAAGCCTGCAAAGTAGATATTACTCTTATTTAATGGGTGAAGAAACAGGCAGAGTGATTAGCTTGCCCAAGGTCACACAGCCAGGAAATGACAGGGATAGATTTGAACATTGCTTTGTCTGATTTTTCAACCCATCAAACTACTCTTAATTATCTAGAAAGTCGAGAAACTAGAGAGTTTTAGAGACTGAGCAGTGATAGCTACTATTTACTTCGCACTATTATAGCCTGGTAGTTTGTTAGGTGTTTTACATATGTTATCTCCTTTAATCTTCGTAACTACAAAGAAGGTATCATTTTTACTAATTTGTAGATAAGAAAATGCAATGCTTTAGATTAGATGATCGATGTCAGATCTAGAATTTAGGCAGCCACAGGACAAAGTAGAGAGCAGCATCACTGCCCGAGAAGTGCCGCCCTTGCCTCCTTCCACTGGAATTTAACTTCTTTGATGCTATATCGTCTAAATGGCCATGTTCCATGCTCTTTTATTCCCTCTTTCTGCCTCACACCCACCCTGCTGCTCTCATCTAATTGTTCCAGGGTTAATCCAAGTGGTTTTCTGATTCAAGGACAGAGAGTCCATGGTCTACCCAGTAATCGATGTCTCACAGCACTGCTTGAGGATATGGGCTGGACTGGTTTTCTGTCTTCGGATTTTAGAATTGGGTAACTAGAGACAAAGCATTTTACAATTAAAGGTGAAAAGCCACAATACAGAAAGAAGCCACAGAAAGGCTGGGGAATGACCAGGATGGCCTTGGACAAGCCGGTTGCATAAGGAAATAGAAATTATGAAAACAGAGAGAGAAAGTTGGCAGAGTGAGATGGGTCTACGGAGAAACAGCAAACAACTCCCAAGATCACATGGCCCCTGAGAAAGAGAAAGTGCCTCTACTGACACTGGCCTTCCGTTCCAGATCCCAGGAGCACTCATTATACCACGATTCTTTTGGGGAGATGCTGGTGAGATAGCCTCCTTTTTTTCTTTTCTCCTTTCTATTCCTTCCTTCCTTCCCCTTCCTTCCTTCCTTCCTTCCTTCCTTCCTTTTCTTCCTTCCTTCCTTCTTTCCTCCCTCCCTCCCTCCCTCCCTCCCTCCTTCCCTCCCTCCCTTCCTCTGACACAGTCTTGCTCTGTCACTCAGGCTGGAGTGCAATGGCGCAATTTTGGCTCACTACAACCAACCTCCGCCTCCCGGGTTCAAGCGATTCTCCTGCCTCAGCCTCCTGAGTAGCCAGGATTACAGGGGCCCACCACCACGCCCAGCTAATTTTTGTATTTTTAGTAGAGACAGGGTTTTGCCATGTTGGTCAGGCTGGTCTTGAACTCCTGAACTCAACAGATCCCCTCACCTTGGCCTCCCAAAATGCTGGGATTACAGACATGAGCCACCGCACCCCACTTCTTTTTTCTTTCTTTTTTTCTTTCATGAGCTGATTCTTAAAACCACAGCCCTAACTAACTCCCATTATGGCTGTTAGTTCTGTGAGATCAGGGAACAACTGATGATAGCTACTGGTTACCCACTGTGTATCCACTGAAGCACCTACCCTGCTGTTCTACACATACGCATAAATGTTTTTGAACAAATGAATGAAACAACTAAGAGTAAAACTATCTGCCATTTATCCAGAGACAGAACCAGAGTCATGGGCCCATGAGTGGACATGAGTAGCAGGACACGGAATATTGTTCAACCTGTTCTAGATGTACCTATAACCTCATGTCTGAATACTAGACAGAGGTGGAACTGAGACAGACCATAGGTGAGATAACTATTTTACAAGTAAGCTATATCCCATAGCCCTCTTTAAAAGAGTAAGACAATGATAAGGTGTGACAGTTAATTTTATGCATCAATTAGCTGGGCCATGATGTTCAGACATTTGGTTTAACATCATACTGGATGTTCCTGTGAGGGTGTCTTTTTGGATGAGATTAACATTCTAATCAGTGGACCTCGAGTAAAGTGGATTGCCCTCCATAATGTGAGTGGCAATCCACGTTCAATCAGTTAAAGGTGGGCTGGGCATGGTAGCTCATGCCTGTAATCCCACTACTTTGACAGGCTGAGGCGGGAGGATCACTTGAGGTGAGGCGTTTGAGACCAACCTGGCCAACATGGTGAGACCTCCATCTCAAAAAAAAAAAAAAAGTTAAAGGCCTGAATAGAACAAAAGAGTGACCTCTCTCCCCATCAACTCCCACCAAGCAAGAAGGAATTCTGCCTTCAGACTTGAACTGCAACACCAGCTCTTCCCTGAGGATCCAGCCTGATGGCCCACCTTGCAGATTTTGGACTTGCCATCCTCTATAACCCATGTGAACCAATTATTTAAAATAAACCTCTCCCCCTCTATCTGTCTCCACATCCTGTTGCTTCTGTTTCTCTGGAGAGTCCTGACTAATACACAAGTTTCTGATAATAATGACTCAATTTTTCTTTTTTTTTTCTTTTTTTTTTTTTGAGACGGAGTTTCACTCTTGTTACCCAGACTGGAGTGCAATGGCGCAATCTCGGCTCACCGCAACCTCCGCCTCCTGGGTTCAGGCAATTCTCCTGCCTCAGCCTCCTGAGTAGCTGGGATTACAGGCACGCGCCACCATGCCCAGCTAATTTTTTTTGTATTTTTAGTAGAGATGGGGTTTCACCATGTTGACCAGGTTGGTCTCGATCTCTCGACCTTGTGATCCACCCGCCTGGGCCTCCCAAAGTGCTGGGATTACAGGCTTGAGCCACCGCGTTATCTATCTATCTATCTATCTATCTATCCATCCACCTACCTACCTACCTACCTACCTACTTACCTGTCAATCATCTATCTATTCATCCATACTATTGGCTTTGTTTCTCTGGAGAATCCTAACACAACAGGCAGCTATTGATCTATTTTCTGTCACTTTAGATTACTTTGCAGTTTCTAAAGTTTTATATCACTGGAATTGCCAGTGCTGTTAGAGCCTCCTTTTTTTTTTTTTTTTTGAGATGAAGTCTTGCTCTGTCTTACACTCCCAGGCTGGAGTGTAATGGAGTGATCTCTGCTCACTGTAAACTCCGCTTCATGGGCTCAAGCAATTCTGCCTCAGCCTCTCAAGTAGCTGGGATTATAGGCACCCACCACCTTGCCTGGCTAATTTTTGTATTTTTAATAGAGATGGAGTTTCACCATGTTGGTCAGGCTTGTCTCAAACCCCTGACCTCAGATGATCCACCCGCCCCTGCTTGGCTTCCCAAAATGCTGGGTTACAGGGGTGAGCCACCGCGCCTGGCTTAGAGCCTCTTTCTCTAGTTGCTTTGGCTACTTCTGGTCACATCATCATCACACATGAGTTATGTTGTTTTGAGGCAGAGGCTTGACAAGCCCCCTTCAACCCATCCCTTCCCCCCACAAACCTTTCTCTAGAAGCCACTTTCCAATCCCTTTTAAGTAACCTACTTGCTGTGACCTGAATGTGTCTCCCCAAAATTCAAAGGTTGAAATCCAAGGTGAGACATTTGGGAGGTGATTAGGTCATAAGGTAGGAGTCTTCATCAACAGGATTAGTGCCCCTATAAAAGAGGTCCCAGAGAGCTGCTTGCCCTTTCTACCATATGAGAACACAGCTAGAAAGTGCTATCTATGAACTAAGAGGTGGGCCCACACCAGACACCAAATCTGCCAGCACCCTGATCTCAGACTTTCCAGCCTCTTAGAATAGTGAGAAATAAATTTGTTATTTATAGGCTATCTAAATTTCTTGCTATATTCTGTTAAGTAATAGCCCAAACAGACCAAGACACTATTGTTCCTTTCCCTGTTTCCTAAAGCCATGAAAGACTCAGAAAGGTGTACTTTTTATTTCCCTGCAGCTCACTGGCTGTGACTTTTCTAGTTTCTCTTCCTCTAATTGGATAATGAATGTTGCAACCCTGTCCCCTGAGGGGTAGTTCTTCAGTTAGGTCCCCAACCACACATGCTGGGCTCCCTAGGGGAAGGGATTCAGATTCTGCCCCTTCAAGATTTCCCAGTGCTATCAGCAGATTCTGCCTCTCCTCATGTGTGTGTGTGTGTGTGTGTGTGTGTCTGCGTGTAACAACATGCATGTCAGGAGGATGGATAAAGTTCTTGCTACATAAAGTTGCAAAAATAGGTTTTAGCATATTTATTTTGGAAAATTAACCTGTTTAAAAGTTTTATTTTTGCTGTACAAAATAGGATTAAATACAAAATGACTTTTACTCCAAAATACCATTATTTCTGATTACCAGTCTTCTTATAACAAGAGAGGTCCCATTAAAAAAATTACCTTAGTCTAATCTCAGTAATGTCAAACTAATTCTTTTTTATTTTTGTTTAATTTTATTTTTTTATTTTTTTTCTTTTTTCCATGGGAATCATCAAACCATAATGTCAAACTAATGCATATCTGAAATGTGTGCAATTTCATCTTTAATATCCTTAATCTCAGCTTGGACTATTGTTAAATTAGATATTTTTTCATTTAAGAAAGCAATTTCTTTCCCTCTTTGCAGTAAGTCGGTAACCAATCTCCCAATTCGTAGGGTTAAATCATTTACTAATGGTTCTAAACGAGCAAAGTCCTTCTTTAGATTATACACCTTTGGTTTTAGATCATTTGCAAAAGTTACTGTCTTCAGAACTTTGGCTCTGTCACTTTCTAACCTTAGAAATCTATCTGTATGTTTGTTGAAGTCACTCTTTAGCTCAGTTAGTGTCTTCTTAACAGAGTTAATTCTTTGTGAATTTTCAGATGCTACCCTTCGGAGCATTGCTGTTCGATCAATGCTACTTGAAAGAAGATCACCAATATTTTTTACTGTACTTGTTTCTACTTTTTCTATTTTAGTTTCTAGTTCTTGCACAGAATCTGTCAATGATATTACGTCAGTTACTAAACCTGAAATTCGTCGCATATCTGTTTTTACAGTTGTAATCTTGAGACCGACATCTTTTGTCATGGAAGTTGTACTTTGTTCTACTTTTGTAATGTCTTGAGAAAGCACTGTCAGATTGTTGTTCAGTATATCCTGTTTTTCAGTTATCCCGTTGAACCAAGTTTTTACCTCATTAATTTCTTCCTGTAGATGCTTTAGATGAGCAATTATTTGAAAAGACTTCAGCTGTTCCATGATAGCTTCAGATTTCTGCCACTATAAGAAAATATAATATCACAATGATTAAATGTATTAGAAGCTTAGCATTTAAATTTCATCTTACATTTTGTGGCTTTTTTTTTTTTTTTGAGATGAAGGTTTGCTATGTCACCCAGGATGGAGTGCAGTGGCTTGACCTCAGCTCACTGCAACCTCCACCTCCTGAGTTCAAGTGATTCTCCTGCCTCAGCCTCCTGAGTAGCTGGGACTAGAGGTGTGCATCACCAGGCCCAGCTAATTTTTTTTTTTTTTTTTTTTTTTGTATTTTTAATAGCGACAGGGCTTCACCATCTTGGACAGGCTGGTCTCAAACTCCTTACCTCTGGTGATCTGCATGCCTTGGCCTCCCAAATCCATATCTGGAATTACAGGCATGAGCCACCATGCCCTGTCTTATGTTACTTTGTAACTACAATTTTACCATTCTTCTGGAAAGCATATGGTAAAAGATGGCTTCAAAAGTAAGAGACGGGCCGGGCGCGGTGGCTCACGCCTGTAATCCCAGCACTTTGGGAGGCCGAGGCGGGTGGATCACGAGGTCAAGAGATCAAGACCATCCTCTTCAACATGGTGAAACCCTGTCTCTACTAAAATACAAAAAAATTAGCTGGGCATGATGGTGCACGCCTGTAGTCCCAGCTACTCGGGAGGCTGAGGCAGGAGAATTGCTTGAACCCAGGAGGTGGAGGTTGCAGTGAGCCGAGATCGCACCATTGCACTCCAGCCTGGGTGTAACAAGAGCAAAACTCCGTCTCAAAAAAAAAGGAAAAAAAAAAAGTAAGAGACTTTAGAACAATATAAGTGAAATACTAATGAATAAGTAGGAAAACATTTGAGAAAATTTTGTGAAATGTTACTGAAAATTAACATTTTTACGTTGCATTATTTTCACAATTGATCCTCTGTACAGTAATAAAATGAGCTACATGAGACAGTGATGTATTTTTTCAGTTGCTGAAGAAGAGAAAAAAAAGTTTCTTCCGGCTGGGCTTGGTGGCTCAAGCCTGTAATCCCAGCACTTTGGGAGGCCGAGGCGGGTGGATCACGAGGTCAAGAGATCAAGACCATCCTGGTCAACATGGTGAAACCCCGTCTCTACTAAAAATACAAAAAAATTAGCTGGGCATGGTGGCACGTGCCTGTAATCCCAGCTACTCAGGAGGCTGAGGCAGGAGAATTGCCTGAACCCAGGAGGCGGAGGTTGCGGTGAGCCGAGATTGCGCCATTGTACTCCAGTCTGGGTAACGAGCGAAACTCCGTCTCAAAAAAAAAAAAAAAAAGTTTCTTTCAATGGAGCTTTGCAGGGTAAGACAAGGTAACAAAACTTCTTTTTTATTTCAGCTTTATTAAGGTATAATTGACAAATTAAAATGTATTTATTTATTGTGTACAATGTAATGTTTTGATATACATATATACACACATATTGTGAAATGATTAAATCAGGCTAATGAACATATCTGTCCCCTCACATTTTTTTTTTTTTTTGTAGTAAGAATATTTAAGATCTACTCTCCTAGAAATTCTTTCTCTTTTTTTTTTTGGAGATGGAAATCTCACTCTGCCACCCAGGCTGGAATGTAATGGCCCCATGTCAGCTGACTGCAACCTCTACCTCCTGGGTTCAAGTGATTCTCCTGCCGCAGTCGCCCGAATACATGGTATCACATTTGTGCACCACCATGCCTGGCTAATTTTCCTATTTTTAGTGGATATAGGTTTTCACTATGTTGGCCAGGGTGGTCTGAAGGTCTTGATCTCACGTGATTCACCGGTCTTGGCCTCCCAAAGTGCTAAGATCATCAGGAGTGAGCCATTGCATCCAGTCTCTTAGCAATTTTCCAGTATATATCATTATTATCTATAATCATCATGCTATACAGTAGCTCTCCAGAACTTATTCTGTTTTTTTTTTTTTTTTTTTTTTTTTTTTTTTTTTTTTTTTTTTTTTTTAGATGGAGCTCACTCTGTCACCCAGGCTGGAGTGCAATGGTGCAGTCTCAGCTCACTGAAACCTCTGCCTCCCGGGTTCAAGTGATTCTCCCGCCTCAGCCTCCGGAGTAGTTGGGATTATAAGCGCATGCCACCATGCCTGGTTAATTTTTGTATTTTTAGTAGAGACAGGGTTTCACTATGTTGACCAGGCTGGTCTTGAACTCCAGACCTTGTGATCTGCCTGCCTGGGCCTCCCAAAGTGCTGGGATTACAAGTATGAGCCACTGCGCCTGGCCTATTCATCTTGTTGAACTGAAACTTTGTATTCTTTGATCAACATCTCTCTATTGCCCTAACTGTCCCCTCTAGTCCCTTGTAACCACCATTCTACTCTGTACTTTTGTAAGTCTGACTCTTTTAGATTGCATATATAATTGAGATCATGTAGTATTTATCTTTCTGTGCCTGGTTCATTTCACTTAGCATAATATCCTTTAGGTTTATCTATGTAGTCGCAAATAACAGGATTTCCCTCTTTTTAAAGGCAGAACAACATTCCATTGTGTGTGCCTGTGTGCGCTTGCCTGTGTTACTTATCCATTCATCTGTTGATTGACACTTAGAATGATTCTACATAGCTTGGCTACTGGGACTAACTCTGCAATGAACGTGGGAATACAGATAATTCCTTGACATATTGATTCATCTCTTTTGGATACATATCCAGAAGTGGGATTGCTGGATCATATGATTATTATTTTTACTGATTTTTTTTTTTAGAAACCTCCATACCGTTTTCCATAATGGCTATACATTGCCACCCACAGCGTACAATGGTTCCCTTTTCTCCACATTCTCACCGGCATTTATCTTTTGGCTTTTTATAGTATATATTCTAATAGGTGTGAATTGATATCTCATTGTGTTTTAATTTTTCCTTTCCCTGAGAATTAGCGATGTTGAGCATTTTTTCATATACCTGTTGGCCATTACTATGTCTTCTTTTGAGAAATGTCTATTCATTTCCATAGCCTATTGTTTAATTGGGTTATTTTCTTTTTTTCTTTTTCTTTTTTCTTTTTTTTTGAGACGGAGTTTCGCTCTTGTTACCCAGGCTGGAGTGCAATGGCGCGATCTTGGCTCACTGCAACCTCCGCCTCCTGGGTTCAGGCAATTCTCCTGCCTCAGCCTCCTGAGTAGCTGGGATTACAGGCACGCGCCACCATGCCCAGCTAATTTTTTGTATTTTTTTAGTAGAGACGGGGTTTCACCATGTTGACCAGGATGGTCTCGATCTCTTGACCTCGTGATCCACCCACCTCGGCCTCCCAGAGTGCTGGGATTATAGGCTTGAGCCACCGCGCCCGGCCTTGGTTTATTTGTTTTCTTGATATTGAGTTGCTTGAGTTCCTTATGTATTTTGTATATTAAGCCATTCTCATATTTATGGTTCATGAGTATTTTCTCCCATTCTATAGGCTGTCTTTTCACTCTGTTGATTGTTTCCTTTTCTGTACAGACGATTTTTAGTTTGATGCAATCCTATTTATCTATTTTTGCTTTTGTTGCTTGTGCTTTTGGGGTTCTATCCAAAAAAATCTTTGCCAAGACTAATGTCAGGAAGCTTTTTCCTCATGTTTTCTTCTAGTAGTTTTCATTTTCTGGTATTACATTTAAGTCTTTAACTTATTTTGAACTGATTTTTGTATATAGTTTGACACAAGGGCCCAGTTTCATTCTTCTGCATAGGATATCCAGTATTCTCAACAGAATTATTAAAGAGATGTCCTTTCCCCATTGTGTGTTCTTGGCACCTTGGCTGAAAATCATTTGAACATATACTTGCAGATGTATTTCTGGGCTCTTTATTCTGTTCCATCAGTCTTTTTTTTTTTTTTTTTTTTTTTTTTTTGAGACGCAGTCTTGCTCTGTCACTAGGCTACAGTGCAGTGGTGAGATCTCAGCTCACTGCAACCTCTGCCTCCAAGCGATTCTCCTGCCTCAGACTTCTGAGTAGCTGGGACTATAGGCATGTGCCACCACACCTGGCTAATATGCTTGGCTAACCTATTTGCCTAGGATGGATAGATGAGTTAAGAGTCTATCAGTAGCTGAAAAGAGCACATCAGTGAAGGCCGGGGATGGTGGCTCATGCCTGTAATTCTAGTACTTTGTGAGGTGAGGTGGGTGGATCACGTGAGCTCAGGAGTTCAAGCCCAGTTTGGACAATGTGGTGAAACCCTGTCTCTACAAAATATACAAAAATAGCCAGGCTAAGCTGAGAGGGTAACTTGAGTCTGGGAGGCAGAGGTTGCAGTGAGCTGAGATCATGCCACTCCAGTATGGGTGACAGAACCAGACTCTTTCTCAGACCAAAAAAAAAAAAAAAAAAAAAGTACATTAGTGATTTGAATATTTATTTTAGTATTATTTTTTCAGATAGAGTCTTGCTGTATTGCACAGGCTGGAGTGCAGTGGCACAATCTTGGCTCACTGCAACCTCTGTTACCAGAGTTCAAGCAATTCTCCGGGGCCTCAGCCTCCCAAGTAGCTGGGATTACAAACATGCATCACCACACCCAGCTAATTTTTCTTTCCTTTTTTCTTTTTCTTTTTTTTAGTAGAGATGGGCCTTTCACCATGTTGCCAACTCCTGACCTCAAGTGATCTGCCCACCTCAACCTCCCAAAGTGCTGGGATTACAGGCATAAGCCACCGTGCCCAGCTTGAATATTTATTAAATTCCTATAGTATATTCCAGGTACTAGGCTTAGATGCTGCCCTGTAATGTTAAATATTGTCCGGATCTACAAGCACAGCAACATGGTTCAAGACTATGATTTCTGGTTCCAATCTGCCTTCCAAAAACTTGCTAAAGGGTTTTTTTTGAGACAAAGTCTCTCACTCAGTGGCCAGGCTGGAGTGCAGTGGTGCCATCTTGGCTCACTGTAACCTCTGCCTCCCAGGTTCAAGTGATTTTCCTGCCTCAGCCCCCTGAGTAGCTGGGGTTACAAGTGGCTGCCACCATACCCGGCTAATTTTTGTATTTTTAGCAGAGACGG